TACAAGTTGGCCACGCCCACCTGGTCACATGGCTGGCAAGCCACTCCCACTCAGCCACATGGGTGGCAAGCCCCTCCCACCTGGTCACATGGCTGGCAAGCCACTCCCACTCAGCCACATGGGTGGCAAGCCACTCCCACCTGGTCACATGGCCGGCAAGCCACTCCCACAAAGCAGGCCACATCTACAGAAGAGGTTCTAAAAAATTTTGAAACCCACCACTGGTTGGCATCTATACAATGTGAGACATCCAGAGATGAAGAACACTGTCTACTGGCAATGTACATTGAGCCAGAATATGTGATTACAGATAGTCCTCGACTTAAGACCACAATTGAGCCCAACATTTCCATTGCTATGCAGGACAGTTGTTAAGTGGCTTCTGACCCAATTTGTGACCTTTCTTGCCACAGTTGTTAAGTGAATCATTGCAGCTGTTAAGTTAGGCAGAGGGTTCTTAAGTGAATCTGGCTTCCCCATTGACTTTGCTGGTCAGAAGGTGATCACATGACTCCAGGACATTGCAACCATCACAAATATGAACCAGTTGCCAAGCATCTGAATTTTGATCTCGTGACCATCAGGATGGTGCACTGGTCGTAAGTGTGAAAAACGGCCATAACCCACATTTTTAGTGCCTTTGTAACCTCGAAGGGTCATTAACCGAATGGTTATAAGCTGATCTGCATTTGGATTGCTGGCATATAATTTTTATTTATTTATCCAGTTTTATATGGCTGCCCACCTATCTGAGAACTCTGAATGTCAAGCAAAGAGAAGGAAGAAAAGATTACATTAAACTAAAACCAAATAAAACCCCATCAAGTTTTAACAAAAATACTAATGGTATTTCTATAAGGGGATTTATTTCACTAAAAAGTGCTTCTTTGTTTTGCACTAAGAATTAGTTTTAATTACTTTTCCCACCATGATGTTTTGTTTTGGGGCAAGATTCAACTGTCAGAAAACAAGATAATATCTAGCTGCTTAGTTTTCGGAAAGAAACTGTATTTGTTGATTTTATTTTCTACTATTTCATTTTCATGGGCTGCAAGAATTGAAAAGGCAAACTGATTTTTGCAGCTCAGAGACTGAAACAGGTGATTTCAAACAAAGACAAAAGGTCACGACTGTTTCCATAGTAAAGTGCTTGTATAAACTCCAGGATACATAAAGACAATCTTTTGCTGATCTATTTAAGTCACCAATGTTTTCTAAACTCTGTTTCACAGAGCCAAAGTACACGACAAAATGTGCATTTTACATTGTGTAGTGCTTCTTCAGATTTTCTTTTAAAAAAATCTACATTTAAATATAGAAGGGATGTCAGTGCATAGCAAGGATAGGCAACTGCAGTCTTAAACATTCCATGATTATTATTATTTTAAGGAGTTTCCAAGCAACAAGTCGCTCCCATTTCTGTCTCTAATCTCCCCTCATGCCGCATCTAGCAGTTCCTCCAGAACTCAAACTTGTACCACTGAAGAATCAAAGCTTTCATGGCTTCTCTACCAAGTGCTGGGACTATGCTGCCATTGGCCGGTTCGCTTTTTTATGGTTGATCCCGAAAGACAGCTCCACCGCTGTCTATCCATCACTTCAATATCTTCATTGCCAGTTGTAAGGCTTTCTAGCTGGGGCATCTCAGTCTTGGTAGAGTCTTAATTGGAACAGTAACTGGGATTTGGTGAAGGCTGTCTGGCCATGGTTTTTGCCTCAGCAGGAGCTAAGGATCCAGGTGGAACCAACCACAAGGTACCTCTTCCACAGTATCTGCCAAGGTTGATGTTATTTGATGCTTATAGACTATTAGCAACCTTTCTATGTTGGGTTTAAGCTGTGTTTGTTTGGCCCCATCTAGATTCCTCTAGTTTTAACCTTCCATAACATCACTGACACAGGCTGCGGTGGCAAGATATCACCCTGAACCAAAAAAATGACATTTTCTAGGCCAGCGATGGCTATCTTTTTTGTTCTTGCATGCCGAAAGCATGGGTACATGTGCCCACACCAGGGGTGGGTTTCAACCGGTTCGCGGCGGTCCCTGCGAACCGGTTGGTCACCGAACCCAGAAGTAAGTAACTTCCGGGAACGGCGAAGGGCGTGCCCGCCCGCCCGTGGTCCTTACCCAGTTTTGATGAGTTCTGCACGTCCACGCATGCGCAGGACGCATACAGTGCCTGTGCGATCATCCAGGAGCAGCTGGAGCGTCGCGCAGACGCTAGTATGCATGCGTGCACCGCGCGCGCGCATGAGGACGCCGCTGGCCCCGTTCCAACCGAACCGGTTGGAAGGGGGCGAGAAACCCACCCCTGGCCCACACCCATAATGCACCCCGCCCCCTGCACATGAGTGCGTGACCCCCATGTATGCACATGACCCCTAGGCATATATGCGAGACCCCCCACCTCATTTTGGGCCTAGCAGGCATCTCTGAAGCCTCCTGGGTCCACAAATGGGCACCCCCTGTGCTCACCCTGCTCCCCGTGCATGCATGCATGTCTTCCGTATGTACGGCATAGATCTGATAATCAGCTGGCCTGTGGGAGGCACACATGCATGCACAGTGGATCTGAACTGGGCGATAGCTTGCGTGCCCACAGAGGGGGCTCCAGGTGCCACTTGTGACATGCGTGCCATAGGTTCACCATCACAGTTCTAGGCGCTTCAGGTATACATTATATTTCACGGAGACAGCACTGCATCCCCATACTAGAACTTCCCTGCACTTATTTTCTCCCCCTGTCTGGAACCACTTAGGTGCAAAAAACCTACTATAGAACCATGCCCTGGGCTTCCAAAGGTTGTAAGTGTTCAAAAGAATACAGTGATCAATGTTTCTTGAAAGCCATTAAAAGATCTAACAGAACCAAGAGGAGCATGTTCCCCCTGTACAGGATCCAATAAAAGCCATCTACCAATGCAGTTTCTGTTAAATATTAGTGTAAGTCCTCGACTTACGACCTACTGCAAGTCCTCGACTTACGATTAACAGCTGGCTCCTGCTGAGCCGCACCTGATTGGCTAAGGCGCGGCTGGCAGAGTGCGGGCAGTTTTCACCTTTCTTATTGGTCGCCCTGCTTGACAGCTCACGTATAAATACTGTAGCTGTCAAGCAGGGCAAGGTGCTGAATCTGTAAATAGTTGTCTGTTAGCTGTTCTGTTGGAATAAAGCTGTTCTACTTACCTCAACGGTACCACGTTTCTTCTATCGGCTCAGTTTTAAACAGATTCAGTTCTATATGGCTGAATTTCAACTTATAACAATTCAGAGGAATCGTTTTCCTCCAGGCTATATAACTATTCCCCACTCCCCTTCTCCACATCCTTTCCTAAAAAGATCCACAATAAAAGGTTTGCCTGGTACGTCAGTTGCGCCCCTTCCTGGATCGGGATGCTCTGTGCACAGTCAATCATGCCCTCGTCCTTTCNAGGACGCATACAGCGCCTGTGCGATCGTCCAGGAGCAGCTGGAGTGTCACGCAGACGCTAGTACGCATGCGTGCACCGCGCGCGTGCACAAGGATGCCGCCGGCCCAGTTCCAACCGAACCGGTTGGAACGGGGCGAGAAACCCACCCCTGATATAAAGTATTATCAGGCAGATGGAAAGTAGGTAAACTTCCACAAATGGTTTAAGATCTGGATCATTCCATACCAATAGTGAACTGCCAGAATGTTTGAACTGGTGATTGGAAGGAAGGATATTCCTGTTTTTAACCATGTTTATATGAATTGTTGTGAGCTACCTAAAGTTATTGTATGAGATAGGCAGCAGAGGTGGTATTCAGCCAGTTCTCTCCAGTTCGGGCAAACCGGTAGTGGTGGCTGCAGGAGGCTCAGAAGGCGTTGCACATGCGCAGATGCAGCACATGCGCTCACATTTGTGAACTGGTAGGGAAGGTAAGTGAATCCCACTGCTGATAGGCAGCCACATAAATCAAGTAAGTAAGTTAGTAAGTAAGTAAGTAAGTAAGTAAGTAACCAAGATATTTTTGCAAGGTCATTTTTCACAGTTTTATGTATCTGTTGTCTTCCAGAATCCTTAGCCTCATCTATTTGACAGTGGAAGCAATTTAAAAAGGGATAAAGAACAAAGCAGGTTATATGCATCTGTTTCAATGATTTTCCTCTGATAATTTCCATAATACATTGGAAAAGACTAGGAGAAGGCAATGGAACATCTTCCGTAATGTTAGAATTACCAGAAATCAAATCCAGTATAGAAACGTTACTTTTTAAATGCTGAATCTGGTTCATGAACGCAATGTATAGGAAAGACGCCACTTGACCTAGAATCTACTTATTAAAATGTCTAAACAAAAACCCTCCTACAAAGTACAAATAGATTAAAATGGTACATGAATGCACATACAGGGAACACATGCAAATTCTTCTGGAAAAAAAGGTGCTATAAGTAAGAACAAGACTCTGCTCCCTTTGTGTGTGGCGATTCTAATCTATTTAATGGTTACCACTTGAATGAATTAAAAATGGAATTGGAATTACTATCTAATTCATCAGTAAGTGTTGTATTATGTATTGATTCCCATAGTTACCTAGTGAATCACTTTAAATTATTTTAGAGATGATGAAATCTATGTTAATATACAAATACTCTTCCAGGAAGAAGTGGGGTTTGATAAGGATA